TCTCATTCATGAAGGAATTGTTTTGATTTGTTGTTGTGTTTTTTTTTTTTTCATGTGTTTTTTAATTCCTCCTTTTTTAAACTACAAAAAGGGGGCACTTCAGATGATCTGAAAGAACCACTATTCTGAGAAAGTCCTGCAATACAAAAAGAGGAGTCAGGAATGTAGTGTGGAGTTTGTTCTTGCAGAGCCTCAAAGATAAATGCCTTCAATGACATAGTTCTTTCTTTGTGTGTGTGTGTGTGTGTGCAGTATATCAGTGTGTTCACAAAACAAATGGATGTTGTAGTTTACAGTAGTCTAGTTTACAGTTGAGTCTGTTATAAAATATTATGCCACAATACTGATTAGTGGGGAAAAATGTCTGAAACTGGAAATATTTGTGCAAAATTTGTTTTTAAACAGCTGTATGATCTATAGAAGAGCTGTAGTATAAATAAAATAAAATTCAGTTAAATTTAAACAAAGGTAAATATCTGGTCTCTGGATGGACGGCAGGTGCTATTTTCAGAGAACTGCTGGAGCATTCTTATAGCAAATGAAATTAATTCAGCAAATCTTTTTAGCAATTTTGCCACCAGTTTTCAGGTAGCTTCCATTTTTGAGACTAACGAAGATGTACAAAGCTGCATATTTAGGCATCTAGCTATGTTGTTAAGTAGAGTGGTGTTTTCCATTGCATTCCTAAAGCAATTAGAATGTGTCAGGTATGCCACTGAGTATGTTACTTTGCTGCAGGGGTAGTACAGAATAGTGCAGGGCTGTATGTTGCTTTAGGAGGATACAGCATAACTCGGGTTTGGGCTGGGCAGGAACTGCCACAGACTTTCTCAGTTCTCTCCAGGCACACGCTGCACGGGCAAGAATTGGGGCTGTGTGTCCAGCTGGCATCTGGCCGCCCTCAGCAGGAGCGCACAGGAGGAATAACCAGTCTCTGCCACTTGTACTGATCCTTCCGGGCATACATTCAGCACGCAGCCAAGAAATCATGGATTTAAATGGGGAAGTGCTGAAATACATTGATGTTATTTCAAGGTGGTTTGGTGGTTCTGTTTGTTGGGGTTTTTTTTGAGATTAAATGTGACTTATAAATATTGACAGAGATCTTTTTCCTTTAGTCTATAAAATATATTAAGCCTGCTAGAAATATTTAGCCTATGCTAAAACCAAACCCTTAATTTTACAATACTTTGTTGTAACTTTATTTACATATTTTCTCTATAAACCTTTGACTATCCATCATTTTTCTATTTGCAGTGCAAAAAGACCCAATCATGTATTTGTATTTGCTGAACATGCTATTTATCAGAGTGTAACATTATAAACCCAATCTGTGCCTTATGTCTTTTAGGATATTTCTTCCACATTCTGAATTATTTCTTTGGAGGCAATGCTATAACGTTTTAATTAGTGGGATGTAAATAATTTTAGATAAAAAGGCATAAATGTTAACTTTCCCTTTTATTTAGCCAAATAAATTTTCACTCACTTATTGTTCCCTCCATGGCACATTAAACCTTGGAGGAATGCAAATTCTGAGATGGAGTGAAAATTAAGTTTTTGTTCTAAAAATGTTTGGATTTGGACTCAGCAATATTTCCTCATAGTCCTTGAAGCAGGTGTTGATACCATGATGTATTAATCTACTATATGAACAAAGGGTGTTCTCTTTCCAGATCTGTTTGTGGCAGTGATTAATTCTATATCCAAGTACAAGTCATCTTGCATAGATTTCTAGTCCTTTGAAACAGTCTTAAAGAAAATAATTCTTATTTCTCTGTGATGCTGCCAAGAGGTCAGTGTAAAGGATATTAAATTAAAATAATTTCTCCAAGACTCACTCAGTGAGAGGAGGGTTTTTTATTTCCCATCTCTTCCCCATATGATCATGAAGCATACTTTACCCTTTTTTGGCAGAAGACCAACGTACAATATGATACGAAGATGTAAGAAGTAATTCTTTAATGCAGCACAACTGGAAATGTTGTTCTTCATGTTTCTTATTTTGATGCTGAAAACACAAAGTTTGTCTGTTGGTAAAAGCTTTTCAGCAAAGAAAACATCAAGAACCTGATCAATTCTACTTCATTGATTAGATAGGCTTTCAAAATTGTGCATATAAAATCATTTAAGAAATCTAGATATTTTTGTCTTAGACCGTGTGCAAATCTTGGGATGGGTATAAGAGAAAAATTCAATGCAGCATCTGGAAAGAAGAGATGTTCCAATAATTAAGTAGTTTGTTATTAGTGCTCAAGAATGTCAATTCTGTAAGTGAAGATCATTCCAGAAGAAGAAACTGGTTTAAGATAGTATCTTAATTTGGAGAAAAGGGAAATGCTTGAGAAATTAACAAAGTATTATTTGGCAAAAGAGGATATATGTTCTCACTTTTCTAACATTTTCTAACTTCAGCGTGATGCAAAATGAAGTATTTATTTGTTCTCACAACAATATGTGACCACTGGTGCATGAGGAAAGACAGGAATTTCAGTATGTATGAAAGCTCTTTCCAAGACTGAAGGGAAAGGGAACTTGTGAACAGACAAGGCAATGTAATACAATTATTTTTTATTCAAGTCCTTTTTAGTAATGCCTTGATCAACCACACACATTTTGTATGCTGATGGCTGATGAAACATCTTTTCTGTCTCATCAAAAGAGGTTTCAGACTTGTCATGTAGGAGAAGAGTTTTTATTTTCTCTGTAATACTAAGATTAGGAAAAGTCCCTTTCTTTAGCCTCTGTGCTTAATCCTGTTTGAATTCCATTCCTCTGATGTTAAATGGAGCAAATGGAAACCTGTCTTGCCATCTTCTGTCATGGAGTTGCACACAGTATAGTATGTTGGTGGTTATTTTTGTTGTTTATAAATGCTTTAATCATAGAATTTGGGTAGATGTTTCCAAGGGAAGTCATCTTTATTTTTGTTTAACGCACCAGGATATTGCCAAGAAAACAGCTATTTTAAACCCCACAAGAATACCTGAAATACCTACCTTCTAGGTTGTCTTTCTGCACTGCAGCAATTCAGTTTTTCATCAGTGCTACAATCCACTCCTTAAGCTCAGCGGTGTTAGCGGTCATCTGATTTATTGTCAAAGTCCTGCAGTTATTTGGCTTCTAATTTTCTTTCCCATTTTAGCTCCTGGTTTACTGTGTTAGACAGAGTGTTTCCTCCAACTTCATTTTCCACAGAGGAAACAACCGTGCAGAAAATTTTGTTGGCCTTAGTACCCCTTTATTTTTCTTGTCATAGAAAAATCCACAGGCTGAATATTAGTGGAGTCAGCTGACCAGATGATGATAAGTCCAAAACACAAAATTCTGCAAATCATTTTTATTTGTACTTTCAAAACATATATGTATTTCCAGTGTCTTTTGAAAGCTTGTTACAAATCTCTTAATTTCTTTAAAGAAAAGATACAGAGTACCTGTTTCCCACTGATAAAGTAGAAACTCTGTTCAAGTCTTGTCCCAAATGAATATTCTGTATTTTGTGTTGTGTTTTGTTTTTTTTTTTTTATTAAACACATGACTGTTGTGGTTCATTCTCCAGCCATTCTGTCTCCTGTCTCACCTCTAGAACAGTTAAGGCAATCTTTTTTTTCCTGTTACTCTGTCGTCACTTTGTGACTGCTTTCTGGCCCTTTCACACTGATGTCCCATTTTATGATAAACATTGATATCTTTCCTGTAGGTCTGTATTTACTTCTAGTCACGACAGTATTTTCTTTCTCTCATGCTGCTCAGTTACCAGCTTCTTTCCACTTCCAGTACAAATTTTTCTATTAGCTCAAACTAAAGGTCCAGCAAGTGCAGCAGAGCTGCCAGTAGCACTAAGACAGTGGCTTGCAAATAGTGGCAAGTACTGACTGATACTTCCTCACCGCTTCTCATAATCCCATGGTAAGGGACCCTGTTTAGCATTGTTATCACCTGCCTATAATGCCTCTACAGATATAGAAGTCTACATGTGAGCTAGTTACTGATTTCATATTCAGGGCAAGGAAAAATGTATTGAGTGTGCTTTATTTTACACTCCAGGAAGAGATGAGTGGTGCCTTGAAACTGTGTATTGTTCCTCACTGCCAACAAGAGAGCATAGCCCAGAGGTAGATATGTAAAATTGAAATGAGTGTGAATCCACGTGTATGTGCATCTCTCCCACCTCTGCATTTTGGCTTCATTACTGACCCTCATTAATGGAATGCCCTTTCTGAGGTAGCCTGCAGAGTCACTAGTTTTCACGTGTTCAAATAAACCTGAACAGCTATTTCTTTTATGATGCCTATAAGAAATTAGCCGAGTAGTCTGCTGTTCTGTTTCTCTTACTCATCTCAAGAGGGAACTACTCGGGTAAGTGGGCAGGAAAAATTGAGCAATGGAGGAAAAGGGCATATTGAAAAGTAAGATGACTTCCAGTACCTAAAGTGGGCCAACAGGAAAGGTGGGGAGGGACTGTTTGTCAGGAAGTGTAGTGATAGGACAAGAGGTAATGATTTAAAACTAAAAAAGGGTTGATTGAGATTAGATATTAGGAATAAATTATTTACTGGCAGGGAGGTGGAAGTAGGTGATCTTGATTGAAGGTCCCTTCCAACCCAAACCATTCTGTGATTCCTTGACAAAAACTAGCAGGATAAACTGTGGAGGGATAATAGGGAAATTAACTTGTTTGAGCAAATAAATAAATAAATAAATAAATAAACGTAGGACTAATGAAGAATTGCCTTTATGGCTATACCATTCACATTATTTCCATACCATTTCCCTAGAACAGCTGATAGTGAAAAGTCATAGACACTCAAAGCTGACAGTGCCTGCTTGCTGTGTTGCACACTTTAGTTGCTGTTCAGTATAGATGATATTTTTACACCGATTTTCGCTGTTGTTTTGTTGAAATGTATTTACTGGAGTATCATTACAAAGATGAAATTTTCCATGATTTGGAGACTTTTTTGTTGTTTTAACTGCTCTTTGTTTTCTGTTTCATGAAGGTTACAGCGATTAGCAAAAGACCTTTTCAAGCACCTCCAGATGCAGGATAGCGGTTTGTTGGCAAACAACAAGGTTTCTGCTCTGGACCGGACTTTAGGAGAGATCTCTCGTATTCTGGAAAAAGAGGTATTGTGACTATTACTGTCTGACATGATTAATCTATAAACTGTGTTGTCCTCAAGATCAATTTGGATTTGGGAATGTTTTAGATGTGTATTGATGAATACTAATGACTACTATAGTAGAAGCTTGGAAGTTTCAGAGTGTATCTGAAGGGAGTTCAACTGTCTAAGTGAACAGAGAACTCTGTTCATACAAGAGAACTCTGTTTCTAGCATTGTGCATTAATTAATGCATTTGTTACTAATTTTGAGAAGTTACCTAATAAAATGCAGTAATTATAAATATGTATTGGAATTCATGTGTTACTAGGTATCAGTACTTCAGGATTCAATTTTTTATTTAAATGTTAAATTTAATGACAAGGAGGCTTTGAAGAGAAAAACAGTGCAAGTTTTCTTTTTCTTCTTTCTCAAATACTTTTTTCATCAGGTAGGTTCAGGACTCTTGCTATGAGCTTGATGCATACGCAGTATGGTGTGTTCTAGTTACTAGTAGAATATGAATATCATTTTTTTAAATCAAACAACGACAGGATTGTATGAATTTCCTAGTCTGTTTACATGGGATTTCTAGTGTCATCATTTCTGATCTGTTAGTAACTCTAGATAAGTCTATGCTTCTACCACAAGTAAACAACATTTAAACAAGTGGATTTGGCATGGATTGTTTTCCACTTACATTCTCTGGTATTTTAGAAAACCGTCTGATGTAAGTAGAATTTAAGCTAATTTTATGAGACCAGGCAAGTGATTTTGTATTTCTGGAATTATAAAAGCTGATTCAAGCTTGAACATTTCTGTGATGGGTATCATGAAGTTTAACTTTGTTATATTAGATTGTGGCAAATAGGTTTTCGTTTTACATTTACTGAAGTGTAAAGATTAGTAAAAACATGCATGTAAAGTAAAAGACATAATTCTGTATAATAAAGTGAGTGCTGTTCATTTCCCAGTTTGTGCTAACATATACCAACCTACATTAATAACTGGAGTTGCACTTAGGAGTAGAGGAAGGTTGGTAAAGTGAAGATAAACACTTCTTTATCCTGTGCCATTTGTCCTCTTGGTACAACCAAAGGAACCAGTGGAAGATTTTGAGCTTTCTAATTAGGAGGCCAGCTCTGTTCTGCCAGGAGACCCAGCACATATTAGAACAGCTTTTGCTGTGGTATTTCAAAGATATTTTGAGTCTGGCTGCAACCCAGACTGGCTAGTTGTGTTTTTTTCTGTTCTCATCTTGCTTCCTACAGCTGCAATGGCTTGCACTTCACCCATAGGAGGAAAGTGGTCAGTTAAGAGTAAGTAGGAGATCTTTTTGCTTATTCACAGTGTAAGAGTTGCACAGAAGTTGACATAAGTTGGTAGTTTGATTTAATTGAAATTACAGATCTGGCCTAATACTATTTTAAAATAAGACTCTCATTACATTCAGGCTATCATGGTTTGATTTTATATGTTTAATAAGGTTTATTATAAACATAATTACTATATTATAAATAAGCTTTTATTTAGCTGGCTAAATATTTTACAAGTGATTTGTCTGATCTGTTGTACTTTAATTTGTCCTTCTGCCTGTTGTCCTCAGGATGCTTTTGCAGTAGAACAAATGAAAGGACGGTTAAATAGTCATCTTAGTACTAAATATTTCACTGGATGTTGTTAATGGTTTGAGCCATGTAATTACACTTTTAGAAGTCTTTTAACTCTGCACTCCAATTAGCAAGTTTTCACAGGACTGAGTCTTAAGACTTCTTCCATGTCCCCCAGCACCAAAGAACTGAAAAGCTCTGGGGGTGCTTTTGAGACAGGAGTTGGCAGTGTCATGCCAGGAGAAATGAGAGCTCCCTCACTCCTCTGTAAATGTGCTTGGTTAGAGTATGCATAAAGGTGCCTCAGCTGTTCCTGGTGGCATCCTTTTTCCTCAACCAGAAATTCAGGAAGGTCCCACATCACAGAGCTGTTGTGCTTTCCCAGAACACTGCTAAGCCTGTTTCTTGGGGTTGGTCTTCAGTGGAGGGTTGAGGTGGTATGCGAATATATCATATGTTTTTATGTTTTGAAATTTCTCTTAAGTGCTGTGCTTATAAAGCCTGCCTTGCTTTAAGGTAAAGTGCTGAATTTTTGTAATTGAGAGACTAGAATTTTCATCTTTATTGTTATTTCAATGCGGTTGGCCTGCTGGCATAGTGATTTGCCTTGTAATTCAACATTTTACACTGTTAGAACCTCCGTATTTGAGTTTTCCAAAGGAAGGTTATATTGTTCTCTCATTGACCCTTAGAAAAGATCTCTTTCATATCTGTAATCACGACATCCTGAAAACTAGTACTGAGAGAAACCAAGTTAATAAAATCCGAGGAGGGGGTTTCATCATTGTGGTTCAGAGTTAGTTTCTGTAAAAATAAGTGCCATGCTTGAAAGTTTTCACAGCTTACTCAGTGTGAAACACAGCTTCTAATAGCATATACTTTTAAATCCTGAACAGTGCCGGGATACTGTTCTCCTGTGTGTTATTTTAGTTACTTTGAGTTGCTGATCAAGTTTAATAGCAGTTTTGAAAGACTTCCAACATTTTGAATTGTGCAGTGTTTGTGTTAATTACTGAAATATTAATTTCATATTTATTTCAAAATATAGAAAATCCGTTGTTGCATGAGGTCTCTAAAAAGATTTATCTATTTGTGTAGTTTTTGTAGTTTTTTTTTTACAGGAAACTGTAGCTTCTTGAGATTCTTTTAAATATGACATGAATTGCAGCTAAATGTTAATCATCAATTGTTTGTAATGTTACTGCTTGTTGAGCCTGCAGTCGGGAAATAAAAGGTAAATTTGGTGATAGACACACATTATTTGTTGTTGATTTGGATTTTTACCCTCAAATCATTATTCTTCTGCTGGAGAAGTCTTATTACATCTGAGTGTCCTAATCGATAAGGTCAAGAAAGATTGATTGCAATAGCTGTCACTGTGTTTACGGCACAGATCGTAGGTAGTCATTTATAGAAGTGGATAGTAATTCTCTTGTTAACTTGTGAGTCAAGAAATCAGCAGACACATCTTACATGTCAATGGGCGGTGAGAAGAATCTTGATGTTGTCAGTCATTGACTGAGAGGAGGAGACTGACACTGTTAATTGAATTTCCCTGGAGAGCATAAAAATATACCATAATGTAGGGGGAGGAATGGGGGAGTGGGAACCACACAAGCTGTCAGTGTGTGTGAGCTGATAACAGTGATTTACCCTTGCTAATGGCCTGGGTTGAATAAAGAATTGCCCTAAGGGAGGACAGAGTTAACAACAATAGATCCTTGCCACTTACTAGAAATTCTTCAGACTCAGAAAAAGTTATGCACAAGTATTGTCAAATAAAATTGATTAAAAAAAAAAAAAAAAAAAACACCACCAGTAATACTCTGTAACATTTAATTTTTCTTTTGTTAGTAGCTTACATTGACTGAAAAAAGTGTATGCTAGCTCCCTGGGGAAATGAAGATTTGTTTTACGAAGAGCAGAATACCAGTACAGCAGGAAGCGTTTGTTCATAGTTTAAAGGGGTTTTGCATCAGCCTATTCTCTAGATACTCAGGTTGTTGAAGTGCAGATTCTGAGGATCTGACAAGAAGTGTGGCCATTAGTTGCCCACAGCCTGTGGTTCACACATGCATTTTAATTAAATCAACATAGACAGTGCTATGAAGTCATAAACCACAATGTTGTTCCAATTTTAAGCAGATTCCTGCCCAATGCCCCTTTGGAATGCATCCTTGCTTCTGCTGGTGACATCAGTCCAGAGGTACAAAGCTGGATGGCGCTGTATGTGCCCAGTATGCTGTCCCTGGATCTGGCATACACTGTGTTAAGGCTTTGATTGGGTTGTGCTCTAGGTTACTGGAAGGCAGTCCTTAGGTTTTGTGCAGTCTCTCATCCTTTCTGGCAGAAATCCTGAAAGGAAGCTGTATTCACTTTCACCTGTACTTTGTTTTAAAAAAATATTAAACAAAAACACCAAAACAAAACAAAGAAAAAACGTGCACACAAACACAATAGCAGAATGCATGCAAACGTTACCAAAATGCCATGGCCTGATGTTGGCAAATTGTCACGTGGGACTATTTGAGATCTTAAACTGAACGTTATCAGATCTTAAATACTCTTTAAGAATGTGCCTTTGCTTAAACAAACAAACAAAAAACAAAACACTGCTGACAAAAACTTATGTAGCCTCTTAAAGAAGGCAGAACTGCAGGACTAAAACAGTTTTCCTGCCACAGTTTTTTCTGCTTTTGAGTTTATACATGACCGTTCTTCAACAGAACTAATCTTCCATTATCAAAGGCAGCAGTGTGTTTCAGATATGCAGGGAGCCCAGGATTAACAGCTCAAGTTTGACTTGAGCACTCATACAGAAATGTCCTGTAATAGGGAATTCAGAAACAAGCAGATTGAAATCAGTGTGACCACAGATACAGTATTAAGCTGTTAATGTTTACATCATTAATTTTCTTCAGTGTACAGAGGTGGTCTTTACTGATTTAAAAACAACAAACAAACAAAACCACTGTTTTCTACTGTGTAATTGCTGTGTGTTCTGCTGCCTGCAGTATGTGTATTTCTGAGGCTATGAACCTGACCTGGGTCAGAGGTGACTGCTGCTCACTCAGATGGTCTTCCTAGACCTGCTGACACATCACTTCCCTAAAATTCTCCCTGATGTGTTTTTAGCTTTGTGTTGTTTTGGTGGGGTTTATTTTGGTTAGTTTGTTTTGATACAGTTTTTAAATGCCCTACTTTAAAATGTTCATGGTACTGCAGCTGACGCAGCCCACTGTTCTGAGGACCATGCTGGATGCTGCGTTCAGGAAGGAGCGTGGTGACAAGCAGCCGAGGGCAGCAGCCTTTTCACCTGGCTCAGCTGCAGCTAAAACACTGCAGTTAGATCACTGCTGTTAAATGTGTTCAATACATATCTGTGACATTGAGACAAGCTGTTAATGTATCTCAC